TCCACTAGTGGCCGGCATTGAATAATTGTAAGCTTCCTGGCTGCCAAAGGTACCCCCAAATATTTGGATGGAAGTGTACCTTCAGGGAACCCCAGTTCTTGTAGTATATCCTGTTACTGGTTCACTGAGACACCTGCTAGGTAAGCTGCACTTTTCTCTGTATTTGCTTGAAGACCGGAAGCTTCAGAAAACTTTTGAAAAGTTTGTCTTAACAATCTGATGGATTGTAAGTCAGCCCTGCAAAACATGAGAAGGTCGTCAGCAAAACAAACATGCACCACTCCAAGTTTTTGGCATCTGGGATGGAACTTGAACACTTTATTCTTCATCATCTGAGCAATTTCCCTTTGTAGGTATTCCATTGCCAAGACAAAAAGATAAGGTGACATGGGTCACCTTGTCTTATCCCCCTTCTTCCTTTAAATGGCTTAGTCAGACCCCCATTTATGTTTAGAGAATATGTTAATGAAGAGATACATTCCATAATCCACCTTGTAAATTTATAAGGGAATCCCAAGTCCAATAGCACTNTTCATCTTCAATATGACCATATTGTTGCAGCCAATCGAAATTCCCAAATGCCCAGGCAATCCTACTGTAAACTCTTTTATCAGGTTCTTGCTTGTTACACCAAGTATAATACCACCCCAAACTTTTCAATTGGGTAAGTTGCAATGTGTTTAGTAAATCTTGCAATCCTTGTGTCTCACCTTGTGTAACTGGGGTTCCAATTCTGTCATCTGTGTACAAAACATTGTTAAAATCACCACATAATAACTAGCAATCTTGAATTGTACTCCCTAACTGAATAAGTGTCCTCCACAATTGACTTCTCTGGTTGCTGTCATTACTCGCATATATCATGGTTACTGTATTTCTAAAGTTAGAATTTGGCTCCTATACTTCATAGTGAATAAACTGATCCTCAATCTGTATAATCTGGACATTTAATTCCCTTTCCATAATAGCCAAATCCTACCATTTGGATGTGCATTGTAATTGCAGCATACATTCCATTCCCTTGCTACTTGACTGATAATTCTAGCAGATTTTCTCTCCTTTACTCTTGTCTCCAAACATCCTATTACATCCACCTTATACTTCCTCAGAAAAAGCCTAAGCTCCTTCTGTTTGTGGGGCTTATTTAGCCCCCTTATATTACAAGTACAAAGGTTCATTTCTGGGTGAAGCTGGATGGGTCAGCGTCCCCTTGGAGTGTTTGTGGATCATTCATCTGTAGGACCTCAAATCTATTGGCAGAAGTAAAAACTATAGATGTCTCTATAGTTTTTCCTTTGTTAACATACTTTGTCCCTTCATCATTCCGCATCTCTCCTTGAGTGCCCTCAGCAACTACATTTTGTTTGGGTGCTTCAGTTTCCATTCCATTTGGTACAGGATTGGTATGAGTATTCTTCTCTACTTGCATCCCAGCATTCTCATCATCTTCTCCTCTATTCACCTTTGGTACCCATTTTAAGTTCTCCTTGTTCTTGTTCTTCTGTTTCTGTGGTTGCTTCCTAATTTCTTCTTCCCCTTTCTGCTTGTTCTTCAACCAACAGTCTTCAGAGTTATGACCAAACCTTACAAAATCACAGCAAAACTTTGGTTTCCAATCGTACTCAATTTGTTGATTGATTATCCCTCTAGAAGTTTGGAGATTCACACTGTCTGGCAGGGGTCGGGATATATCAGCTTCAACAAGTACTCGTGCAAATGATATCTTCTCTAACTCAGTAGTAAATTTATCAGTGTACAGAGGTTTGCCCACTGCACTGCCTAATTTGCTCAATACATCTGTGGCCTAGAATCTCAATGGTAGACCTGGAAATTTGACCCATAGTGGAATTTTATTCATACAGCTTGGGTCAAATTTGAAATCCACACTCCAACACTGCAGAATAAGAGGTTTATTGTGGTATGTATATGGACCATTATGAANGTTGATTGATTATCCCTCTAGAAGTTTGGAGATTCACACTGTCTGGCAGGGGTCGGGATATATCAGCTTCAACAAGTACTCGTGCAAATGATATCTTCTCTAACTCAGTAGTAAATTTATCAGTGTACAGAGGTTTGCCCACTGCACTGCCTAATTTGCTCAATACATCTGTGGCCCAGAATCTCAATGGTAGACCTGAAAATTTGACCCATAGTGGAATTTTACTCATACAACTTGGGTCAAATTTGAAATCCACACTCCAACACTGCAGAATAAGAGGTTTATTGTGGTATGTATATGGACGATTATGAAGAACTAGGTCCCTATCTACCATATTTTGGAATCTAAACACAAAATATCCTTCATCATGATAAAGGATTTGAGGTTGGCCAGCAAAATCCCAGACATTTGCAATGTAATTTTCCATCGCTTTCTCATATGGATTATCCCCTAAAACATAGCCAATTAAGGCTGTACTCCAGTAATTCTCCTGTTCTTTTGTTTCTTCATCATCAATTTGCACTACAACAGTACCATCGCGAATAATAGGGGGTATGTAATTCAATGCCTTACCCTTTTGAAAACTCCTATTGTGATACCTAGCTGGTACCGTTTCCTCCTCTTTGTTCCCAATTTCTCTGGTAGGTTGCACATTTCCTGTTGCTGAGAAATTCAGTCTGCGATGAACTACTTCAGTGTTTTCCTTCATAGCAGGTTTCACTGCAGATTCCCCCTTTTCATTCTCACTTTCCTCCACGATTGGTTGAAATTTTTGTGGTAGGAAGCTTCCAAACGTCATAGGCCTCAATTCCTGTTGAAACCCAGTATCTGGCATTACTATCTTCTCACCTTGAGCTGGGTTTTGAAACACTGTAGGGGCACTGCCCATACCAGTTAACCACCGTCCTGTTTGTACCTGAGCTGGTGTTACTAAACTTGCATCATTATCCTTCTCTCCCAATGGCGATGGGAGCTTCTTCCGTTGTCTAGCCATGGCCGATGGCGTATGTTAGCTAACCTTGCTAATCATGCGCCCCGAAAGAAAGGTTCGTATTTTCTTGAACAAACGGGTTTTTTCTCCTCAACTTCACCTATACCTTTACGAGAACAAAGAGATTTGGCATTAAGCAATTCTATTACATTTTCTCTTTCTTTTTATTTTTTGTTTTTGTTTTCTATGTAACGAATTATCACTTTTGAATGAAGGAAGATCGTTAATTTCTTTTAGCTTTTTGGAATAAATAGACAAAATAGTATTGATCAAAAGTGAGTAGATTGAATTGGAAACTCTGTTAATCCATTAGAAAGTTTAGAAGCTTTGATTTCGAAAATCGAAATTAGCAAAATTATTTTTTATTTGGATTGGGTGTTGTTGCAAATGATTGGGAATATCCTTTGGTATTATCTCAATTTTAAAACAATTTGGTGAAGATTCGAGGTGGTTTTGCTTGAAATTTGATATCAAAATTCGAAAAAGAAGACATAAACAAAGTATATATATTTTGTATGCCGAGTGTAGAAATTATATGCAAAATATCTATAAAGAAATTATATACAAAATATCTATAACTTACATAATTGTATATAAGTGGTACATAAATTATATGTAAATTACAGTTTTTGATTGAATTTTATACAAAAAATATGTATTTAAATTGTAGATAAATTATTAATTTTGATCGGATTTATATATATTTTGTAAAAAACTTTAGTTACTCGTCTATAAATATGAAAACTTAGACCAAATCGGATAAATAAGTTTAAAATATCTTATATATACAAAAAAAATCCCAGTTAGAAATAAAACTCAAAACATCACAAGCCCCTTAGCCAGACTCGTGTCTAACGTTTGCTCGTATAATTTGTAGTTTGCTCATAAAAAAATGCACTGCATTTTAATTAATAACGTATAAACTTTTAGCCTATTGTCTAACGTTTTCTTATAAGATTTTAGTTTTCTCAAGAAGGATCTTTATACCGTGGTCTAAAAGGTCTATCAACTGGAAAAGAATTTTTTTTTGAAAAAAAGGGATCATTTACTTCACAACTTATACAAAAGGGCTAACTGGCGAGAATTGTACTATGACTATGTGTAACTTCGTAAGTTTACATTAAAGTAACTGGTTAGATAGGAGAAAAAAAAGTTACTGGTTGCCTGGTTGGAACCATTTAAATTTGCAATATCTAAATAAGACAATATACAGTAGAAAATAAAATGATACCCAGCTATGATAACAAATTATTCTTTTAAATCTGATTATATATTTCAAAATCCATAATCTAATCATAATTAGAGTTTGATTTGATTCACTCTTTAGCTACTCTACAAGCTATAAAAGCACACCTCTTGGTTACCTTGATTATCCAAAGTAAGCAGAGAAAAACGAAAAAAACTATCTAAGACTACATATAAAGTGTATTTCTAAAGGGGGAATGGCAAAGCTTTTGACTTGTGTCCTTCTCATTGCTGTTGTGTTTCTTGGTAATCGAGAACATAAAAACTCTTTTCTTTACTGATATTTCCATACTTGCTATTCTCATGTATATAATAATTACCTAATGTGAATACTAATTTATATTTTAACTTTCTTTTTTGTTGGATGCAGTTGGAACAATGATCCCATCAGCAAAAGCGGCAAAGACCTGCTATCAAATACATACAGAAATATTGTGCGATCAAGGCAAAGTTGAACCAAAATGCTTGCCATTTTGCAAGCAGAAATTTGGACCCCAAGCTGGTGCCCAATGCATTGAGAATATTGGCGTTGAGGGTCCTTTCTGTGCTTGCAATTATCCTTGCTAGTCACCTTTTCTCTTTCCTTTTTTAATAAACTTAATAGTTCCTATATGATATTTGCCATTCATGGCAATCTTATAATTTAATAATGTATTCTTTGTGAGCCTGCCCTTCGTAATGAAAAATCTCTCTTTATTTACATTTTTCTGTTTATTTTTTTTCATTCTTCATCCATGGAAATTGATTAAATTTTCAGAATATTCTATGCATATGCTTATAGGGAATTGGATTTAAGTACAAAGGACTCAAGGATACAATATATCTTATAAAAAACACAAACAATTGATTTTACTATTATTCAATTTTGAGCTTTACAACTGTCTTTGGGAAAGAAATTAATGAATTAATTAGAGAAAATATGAATTCCTCTATTCTATTTTTCATTATGCCATATCTCCTACTAGAGGGTGGTCCCCCACATCATTAGTCCTCGTTCATGGCTTGAGCTTCTCGAATTTGGCTGTATAATAGAACACGAAAAATAATTAGAAAACAAAAGCAGCTCGAATATTGTTCAATTCAACTAACTAATACTTTCTCCATTTTAATTTAGATGATGTAATTTGACTCGACACGGATTTTAAGAAAAATATTAAGACTTTTAAAATTTGAGGTCTTAGAAACTTAAGAGGTAAAAATTTTGTAGAACCATGACATTTGTGTGGTTATAAAAGCTGTTTATTAAGGATAAAATGTAAAATAAAGATTTTAAAGTTAAATTATTTTAATTGTAAAAATGTATCATTCTTTTTTAAACGAACTAATAAAGAAAGTGTGTTATTTGAATTGAAACAACGGGAGTACTTAAAAAATCACAACTCTATTAGTATTATTTTTTCAAACCTATAATTGTTGCTCAAATTTGTAGATTGATTCTTAAGTGAGACAAATTTATTATATTATTAAAACTATTAAATATCATTTTTAAGAGTAGGTAATATAAATGGAATCAAGTGGAAAGATATTGAAATGAGTTTGTACCTTTGAGCTCCTTCATACCACAGTCGGCGTCACATTTCATCTCACAAAAAGTGTAGCCATGGCCCTCATCAGCGCATTCCTTTTGACAATTGTCAAAGCACCGCTTGAAAACTTCATCGGCTTCCGCTACGTGAACATGCACAGCTGACAACACAACTATGCACATTACAAACACTGCTACTACCTTCTTTGCCTCCATTCTTTTTCCCACTTAATTAGGTTTTGTTTCTTTTTTAATTTGATATTTTAATAGCTGGATGGTTTGCTTTGTTTTATTACCCTTGGACGATTTGTTAATGGACATGAGATTGTATTTATAGGTTATTGTGACCCTTTTACGTTGGAGGATATACCTTAGAGTAAGGGAAAGCTCGTGGATTTCCTGGGATTTTGGAAACTGAAGAGTCATTAGACTTGTGTTGTTCCGTATTACAGCACTGTTTGGTCACTATTCAAGAAATGATTTTGACCACCGAATAATTGACTGGAAGGTGGGCAACGCTTTCATTAACTTCTTAGGAACAGTAATTTTTTCAAAAACTTTCAGTATCAACTAGAGAAAATAAAGCCAGGCTTTGTGATTTACAAGTTTAGTGCTCCCTCCATTCCGGTTTATGTTTACAATATTTCCTTTTTATAACTTTTTAAAGTTGAAAATAATTTAACTTAAATTTTTCATTTGACGATAAATGATAAGTCTTTATAATTACAAATATTATGACATTATAAATTTAAATTTTTCAATTATTTTTAATTAGAAATTTCAAATTTAAGCTTTGAGTATGGTGGGTCAGAGTACTTATTCAAAATTAATAAACTAAGAAATTTGGGTGCGTAGCTTCGTGAATTTTGCTGGTAGCTGGAACATAGACCATAAGTATCGTTCTTTTGTTCATTGTGATAAGTTACGTGATTTTTTTATGATCTAACAAACTTTATGATAAGAATCAGATCGGGAACTTGTTACACATCCTCAAAAGTACTCAAGAACAGCAAGTCTTAGGTCGGGCACAAGTTTCAACAACTAGAGCCAAAGAGATGTCAGAGGCAACAGATGGACATCAGTTCCCGAGCTGACTGTACCAGTCAACTCCCACAACTGTAAAGTCGATGCTATTGTTCCTCTCTACACACGCAACAGTGCAAACGATGTAGCAGTCACTTTATGGGGAATGATTTGTACCAGATAATTGCTTGCATCATCCAAGTGACATCACTTGCATATTATCAACATGAAGCAAGGAAAAACACACACACTTGCACATCCGAAAATTGATCAAGTTTTCTCTCAAGTATGTTACCATCTTGCAAGTGACTTCAAGGCTTCTAGAACAAAGAATAACAAAACAAAGGACCAGTTTCCAGCACTGTATTACCATATGTTCTTAGTTGTGTTGTACCTTTGTTAGAGTGATCTATTTGTAATTCCTATTTATTTTAGCTAGTAGCATTGTGTAGGAAACCATTTGTAAAATCATAAACCTTATGTTTGTATCTTGGTTAGAGTTAGCCGAGTTGTGAGCTTTGTTATAGGGTTATTACAAATAGGCTTATAATAGAGTTATTACAAGTGAGTGAGAGCTTAAGAGTTTAATTCCTAGGTTACAATAGTTTATCAATTTGAAGTTCGCTCAATAGTGAAGTTAAAATCCTACGAGTGTAGGTCGTGGTTTTTAATTCCATGAGCTGGGAGTTTTCCACGTAAAACTCTGATGTGTCATTTACTTATCTCTTATTGTGTTTGTTTTGTGGAAACTGATAGAGAACCAAATTCTTTAAATATAGTTTGGTGGATCCTATGTTTCCATCAATTGGTATCAGAGCAAGTTCTTTCTACAAGGCTAGCACCTAGAAAGGATCCACATGGCTGCTCCACCAAACTTTGAAGAATATCAATCAACTTACAGACCACTAAGATTCAATAGACAGTATTACGGATGATGGAAGATAAGGATGCACGATTTTATCATATCTGAAGATTCTGAGCTTTGGGATGTCATCTGTGATAGCCCTTTCGTTCCCATGAAGATCATTGGGGAGCCATCAATGACAATTCCAAAAACAAGAAAGGAGTATAATGATGCTGACTGCAAAGCTATAGAGAAAAACTTCCAAGCAAAAAAATCCTCGTCTATGGTATTGGTCCAAACGATTATAACAGAATCTCCACCTGTCAATCCGCTAAGAAGATCTGGGAGGCTCTCCAAACAACACATGAAGGGACAACTCAAGTTAAGCAATCAAAGATCGACATGCTCACTACTGAGTATGAACTATTCAGGATGAAGGATGATGAGTCCATTCTGGACATACATACTCAATTCACCTCCATCATCAATGAGCTCCACTATCTAGGAGAAATTATTCCAAGAAACAAATTCACTAGGAAGATACGTAGTGTATTACCTAGATCTTGGGAAAGAAAAGTTAATGCCATCACAAAGGCAAAAGATCTTCAAAAGCTGACCATTGATGAACTCATTGGTAATCTGAAGACTTATGAAATAAAGAAGAAGAAGAAGAAGAAGAAGAAGAAGAAGAAGAAAAAGAAAAAGAAGGACCATGAAAGAAGAGAGCCCAAAAAGGAGAAGAACCTAGTCCTCAAGGCAGACAACAATGACTCAAGTGGTGAGGATACTGACATGGCCTACCTGACGAAGCGATTTCAGAAAATGATTCGCAAGAATGGCGGCATTCTGAAAAGGGGCAGCTCCAACAAACCAAGAGGTTATGACTTGTGTCATAAATATGGGAAGCCAGGACACTTCATCAAGGGCTATCCTCTCGTCAAGCAAGACCAGTACAAGCACAACACAGATAAAACAGTTAAAAGGAACTCAGTTCCTGACAAAAGATTCAAGAGAAAAGTTGTCGCTGACAATGTTGTAAAACAGGCTTTTGCTACATGGGAAGATTCTTCCAGCGAATCTGGAGAAGATGATGAATAAGGTGACACCTCCATGATGACAGTTGAAAGTGAAGCATCTGATAAGCATCTGAATATGACTCCATCTTTGCCCTGATGGCAAAATGTGACGATGATGAAGATGATGATGATGAGGTAAACTTTCAAGACGTTCAAAGAAATTTGAAGTCTTACTCTCAAAAGAAGCTTATATCTTTGGCCAATATTTTAATTGATGCTTATCATAATCTTATAAATGATAAAAATGTGTTAACTATGGAACTAGGAGAGGTAGAACATGAGAGAGATCGTCTGGTGGTCGTAGTGGTTGACCTAAAAGAAACCATCGAGGTTATAAAAAAAGAAAAAGATGGTCTAACTGAAAAAATTAAAAACATAGAGCATGAGATAAATGACTTGTTAGTAGTAGTTGTGGATCTAAAAGAAACAACTGAGGAACTAAAAAAGGGAAACAATTCTGGGAACATCCAAAGTGGAAAAGAAATTGCAAGTGAGGCACACATCAAGCTTGAAAATGAACTCAAATTGGTGAAATCTAGTATGTGTGCTAAACTTGAAAGAAATAGATAACTTCAAGAAGATCTTGACAGAGTTAAACATGACCAAGAAAAATCTCTAAATTAAACCTGGTCTTCTAATACAATCACTGCCATGTATACAAGCAATGGTAGGAACAGGCAGGGAGTCGGGTTCCAAAAGGAAAGGACTCCCTACAATCCACATAGCAAGTATGTTACTGTTACTGATAACTGGCTTTGCACTCACTGTGGTAATACTGGACACTTTAAAGAAAACTGTAAGGCTAGAATTCAGTCCTAACAGAAAAACAAGGTTTTTGTTGAGAAGGTACTGCTAAGGAACCTGGTTCCTCCATTACAAAAAATGTATTGCCTGCTTGTATAAAAAGAAGTTTAATTCGCCTTTTTTTCTCACTATTAGGGACCCAAACTTGTTTGGTTCCTAAGTCTAATCCTTGATTTTCTCTTGCAAGGAGGAATGAAAGGAAGTAGCCAAAATGGTATATGAATAGTGGCTGCTTTAAGCATATATGACTGGGAGCATTGATAATTTCCTTTCACTCAAAGCCCTGTAAAGAGGGAGTGTGTCCTTTGGTAATGTCAAAAAGATATACATTCTGTGAGTAGGAAGAATTGGGAAGATGCTCACTCATTTAATTGAGAATGTGTACTATGTGAATGGCTTGAAATATAGCCTACTGAGTGTTTCTCAAATGTGTGATACAAAAAACAAAGTGGATTTTTTATCAAAACCTACACAGTCACAAATCCCATGACTAGTGAAGTGGTTTTGTTAGCAAAAAGATTCAAAAACATCTATGTTGCTGATTTTGGGTCCTTGCACAATGGGGATCTTACATGTCTGAGTGTTGTTGATGATGATGCTGAGCTGTGGCACAGAAGATTGGGACATGCAAGTTTTTCATTGCTGAACAAGTTGGTCAAAAAGGACCTGGTCCATGGGCTGCCCAAGACAAGGTTCAAAGATCACAAGATGTGTGATGCTTGTGTAAGAGGAAAGTAAGTCAGGTCCTCTTTCAAGCCCAAGAATGAAGTAAACACCTCAAGGCCATTTGATCTCCTCTATATGGATCTATGTGGACCTCTGAGGGTGCCAGGTAGAGGAGGAAAGAAGTACATTTTTGTCATAGTTGACGACTACTCCAGATTCACATAGACCTTGTTTCTCAGAACCAAGGATGAAACCTTCCAGTCTTTATTGCATTTGTGGAGCATATTCAAGTGAAGATGTGCCATAATGTTGTTAGTATAAGGTCTGATCATAGCACAAAGATTGACAATGCAAAATTCGACGAATTTTGTGCTGAAAATGGCATAAGTCACAAATTTTCAACTCCCAGAACACCCCAACAAAATGGTATTGTTAAGAGGAAAAATAAGAATCTTGAAGACATATCAATAACTATGCTAGTTGACAGTGGCGTAGCAAAAGACTTTTGGGCAGAGGCAGTCAACACTGTTTTCTACTTGGTGAATAGGTGCATGATCAGGTCCCTCATGAACAAAACTCCATATGAATTGCTGAACGGGAGGAAGACCAAGCTAACTCACCTAAGAACGTTTGAATGCAAATGTTTCGTTCTCAATAATGGTAAGGAAGCTTTGTGAAAATTTGTCGCCAAAAGTGATGAAGGAATCTTTCTTGGATATTCCTCTTAAAGCAAAACATACAAGATCTACAACAAAAGGACTCAATGTATTTAAGAAAGTATACATGTAATATTTGATGAATCACACCACCTATGTGGGAAAAATTCACATGATAAGATTGATTAAGATGGAGAGCAGTCGAAGGTTCTTGGAGAAGTCATTAATATG